TAGATAAATGGACATGTTGTTGGATTGATCATTGCTAGATGATGCTTGATTAAAAAATAAATGAATGTTGGCTGATTTAATGTATGTATACAGTGCTGGATAGATGGACTGGCAGATTGACAGATCTACATACAAAATGATCTTTGAAAGATATGATGAATGTGCAGATGTGTGGGTAGATGAGCAATGTAGATTGAAAAAAGATGAGTGGATTTAGAGATCAGTGTACAGATGAATGGATAATATTGTAAAATGTAAGTTAGATAAATGAAAAAAGAAAGTTATTCTTTTACCACATTAGATGGGGAATTAATATTTTGAAAGTTAATTAATAACGTTTCACAGCCAATTATATTTGAATTGAGGGTTCTGCAAGACATGTCATATATAGCAGAACATATGCATCCTATGTTCAGGTATTTTTTATTTAACTTTTTATGATACATTTATGGAAGTTCTGTTTTAAACTAATTCTAACCCTTGGTTGTAATTTATGATGGAAAAAAATACTAACTTTGCTTTTGTCATTATTTTTAACCCACTTATGGCATAACTTCACAGCATATACATTTTAAATGTGACTGTTAATACTAAATACTAACACTTCATTTTAATATCTCTAGTATAGACTTTACCAGTAGAGGTGTATAAATAATCTTTTTCTGGCTGCAACATCAGATCAAACGTTTACAGATTTTTCACATACCATTACCACTTTCTCTTCTCATACAAAAAGGCCTTTTTTCTTCCTTGGTGAAAGACAAAAAGTGAAAGACCTTTGGAAATCTGGGATGAGCGCCTCACTGCATGCAAATGTGCTTGAAGGCAACATTTAGCCAATGGAAGAGGATTAACCTCCATTCCATTCACCAGCTGGGTTTTAGTCACAGCCTGCAGTTGTAAAGATGCATGTTGACAACCAATCTGCTGAAGTTCAAATGGAAAATATTTCTCTTGTAATATTTACACTGAACCATAAAGATTATGATTTTGACTTCTTTCATGTCAGTAACTTATTTTACTATGCTTGAGTGAATACCAACAGTGTTGAGAAACAAAAAAAAATCTTTTTTTTTGTTGACTTTATCACCATGCCGTTGACATTTTGGTTAAATAATCCAGATTTATCTGACTTATTTTACTTGGGCACTTGAAAATTTACAGAAGTTAAGATAATACATTCAGATATTTTGCAAAGTTTTTGTGTTGTCTTTTTCTTTATCTTAATGTTTTGCAACTAGACTTTGCATGTGCAGGAAAGAGAGAGTTCAAGACTAATAGGCTTTACAGTGACTCTGAAGTCCACGTCAAAGCCAATAGAAACAGTTGGTGTTACTGTGTGTTGTGTTCAGCTACTGGGGAATTGATGATAAGTAAAGCAGACTTAACTGGCTCATTGCCCTTTTACCTACTGTCTGTTCACAATGCTCATATGAGTTGGATGTTGTGATTTGGTAAGCTTAAAGTAAGTCAGGTTGTCCTACTATTTTTGCAGTCACTTCAAGCATTCACAATGCAGAGGTGAGGGACTCATAATTGTCGCAGAGCAGTCATCTTCATAATTCATTATGGGATTAAGTAATGTTACTGGGGCAATTTATGTTCCATTTGAACTGTACTTTATTGAGTTTTGCAGAAATTGCACATGTGCTGTAAATGTCACAGAATTTAAAAAAATTGCAGCGTGGCTTAGCTGAAGATCAAATTATGCCAAAATCTAATGTGTAGAAAGATGATGCTAAAGCATTATTTATGACAAATTGGTACCTTCATACAATATTGAAGCATAAGACAGTTTTGTGGGTATAACTTTAGGTCATAAAGTGATGAAACATAAGCAAGCGCATCAATTATCTTTGGATTTTAAATGGGTGGAAAACTAAATTATATTGTAAAGGAATAAATCCATAAATTGTTTAAAGTTAGCATGTATTTATTCCACCTTTGTGATGAGTTTGAGACTTTTCCTCTTCTCTTGCCAATGAATGCAACTAAGCCAAACACATCAGTTGTGATGTATTAGCACCTCTTAAAACCAAAGTAGCCTAATATGAGCATAATTTCAGATATGACCACTGATTTACGAAAAAAGGAAAGAAACAACATCTCACAAAAATTAGACATAGGGGAGAGAGGTTTCATTCTTTATTTTTCTAGGGAAACATTATCATTAAATAAGAGGATTCTGTAAATTAGTTGTGTATGTGCTGTTTTTAAGGTGGTCAACTGTTGTCAGTGAAACTGTTGCTGAAGACAGAACGGCCTCTAATTGGTTAGCTCCATCTCCTCATCCCATGCACACATGCTCTCTCTCTCTCTCTGTCTGTGTGCCACTTTCTCTTCCTCTCTTTTGACTGACGCTGTGTTCCCTCCAATCCCTGCAGGGCCGTGTGAGGCGAGGAACCAGTAGCATGTCGGGGAGGGTGGAGCTGGGAGCAGTTGGCCAGTTTCAGGCAGAAATGCTGCATTTGGAACTCATTGACGGTGCTGACGGTTACCGCGGTGATAAAGACACCTTGAAGGCATCCGCCGTTGCAACCGTGCCAGTCACCAAGGACTCTGGAGCACCTGTTACCATGGATACATACCGACCCAAGAGACCTACGACCCTTAACCTCTTCCCTATCGTGCCTCGTTCACAGGTATGGCCTGAATTATCTTATCTACACACACACACGTGCACACTTTCTGACAGAGCACAGTGCTAATGGAAGTCAGAAGCAAGATTATTTATGCGTTTGACTGCCTTATGTCTGTTTATTCCATTAAACAGCAAAAAAATATGTTTTCAAAATTGAGAAAAGATGAACAAAATGGTTGACATTTCCACTGAATTCATTACAGTTGTTTCCTGACAGGATGTCTTTTCTAGACCAAACAATGGCTTCAATTGTCAAGACACATTTTTCCCATTGGTGCCCATCTCTGTTTGTGCTTGAATAGAGCTCGTGATGTGAGTGGTTTTGTTCAGTAAGTCAGTCTGTGTGAGAACAGAAGAGCTATTTTCTATACACGGTGCTCAGTTAGGGCAAATTTTACACTTTTATTGGTAGTTTCCAAAGAATATAGGGCAAAATGGAAATCTTTTTAGTTTGGGGAATCTTTTTCCCCAAACACATATTAGTGTTTCCCAAACACATGTTAGTGTTTGGGGAAAAAAGGTTGTGTGAGATAGAGCCCATAGTGCGACTATGTGTGGAAATTAAAACATTGAGTTCTATCTGTCAATCATTTCTCTTATTTGCTGACATTAATTGAGCAAGAATGTACATTTAGGATTAGGCTTGAGAACCGTATATATCTAGACAAGATATACAGTTTCGGCTAAGAAAATCAACGTATGAATATAATATGAACAGGGCCATCAAATATGGACAATAACAGAATGTGAAAACATTGCATGGTCCAATGAGTCAGCTAAGATATTCAGATGTCAGTGTCAGAGTGTGTAAACAACACGACAGCATGGACCCATGTTGTCCTTCATCAGTGATGCAGGCTAATAGTAGAGGTATAGTGCTGATGGGGATCTATAATTATTGGCACACTGGCTGGTCCCAGTTGGTACCAGATTTCAATCAAATAATGCACCTTTGACAAGATTTGCATCATTTAACCAATCTATGGTGGCATCATATCAATATTGACCAAAATTTATGAGAAATGTTTCTGATATCCTATTGAGTTTATGCCATGCATAATTAGAACAGTTCTGAAGGAAAAAGCGGATCAAACCCAGAGCTAGTGAGGGGAAGTTGATAAAATAGTCAGTCAGTAGATATTTTGACTGAATCAAATTTGATTCTTTGCCTCAGATAGTAGAGGATTTTTCTACCAGTTTATGGTCAAACAATTTAAAACATGGTATTTTCACTTGTTAAAGATTATTCACAGAATTGAACCCTAAGCTCTGGGCCAAATGCCATTAAGATTTGGTTCAAATTAATAATTTGATATTTAGGGCTCTACCCATATGGCATTCTATTGACATTTACTAGTTTCTGTGCAAAGCAAGAGTTCTCTATGGAGACTTCTTCTCATCATTAACAAGAACTAAAGCAGCTGTTACCATTGTCCCAGTTATGTCACCCAGTTGGTCGTTGCAGATGTTTCCTCACATGTTCTTCTGGACGCATCTTCCTATTAAAGGAAAGGTGGCCTTACAGCTGTTGCTCCATTCATGCTCAGTATGAAGGATTGTTACAAAATCAAAGACATAATGCAATCAATTGTCCTGTGGCTCTACTTGCTTGTCCAGGAGGAATAAGTGGTGAAAGTGAATGCAATCTGCTGGGTTTCCTTAGATGAAAAACCTTTTAACCTGAATAGTCGATTGAACTTGACCGCATTGATTGATAACTAAAGTCAAACTGGACTGTATGTAATTGGTTGTTTTCAAGTCACTCTGTATGACTGTGATTATGACTTAATTTGGCCTAAGGCATTTGTTGTGCATGATTTGTTTGAGAGAACCGACCAGATATTGTGTGTGTATGTTGAAAGTGGGTCAGTATGACTTCCATTGTCCTGGTTTTGCTTTGTTTTGCTTTCTGATGGCTTAGTAAAAGTTTATTTTACAACATGTGAGGGACATTGAGTCCTAGCCATTTCACTTGGATGGTAGGATTATAGAGGACCAAAATAAATAAATCAACAATTTTATGCAACAAATTAGCAACATTTTTGGAATAAAATCTGAGCCTTTTAAGATGTTTGGAATGTCCTTTTAACAATCAGCTAATTGTTTTTATTCCTAATATGGATTTGAACAGTCAATTTTGGAAGGTTGTCCAGGCTTTCTTTTTGTTTTTCTATGATGAACCAATTACACTTTCATTTTGAGCTTATAGTTGTTTCTAGGTCATCTGCGTCTAGGTGCCTTATCAGTTTATCAACAATTTCAGCTTTCCAATAGTTCAAGTAGTCATTGAATTCATCACTATGAAGATAAGACAGACTTCACATCACTGATTCATCATAGTAAACCAATGGGGATGGTTTAGATGGTGAGCCTGTTACAGCCACCATTAGTTCCTACCACTATGATCTTTTAACAGGTGTTGCTTTGTATCCTGCTCAGAGGTTAGACCAATTCTTCTTTTGCTATGGCTGACTTACAGTGTCTGTCGAAGAAGTGATTTTGCATGCGATGCAGCAGCAGCTGGAGTCTGTGTCCTTCTTGTTGCCACATTGAGCACAGCTGCTCAGATTATTACGGTCTGTCTGGGGTCTGGGAATCAATTAAGGTCGTATTTAGCCATATTCAAACATTTGTTTTCTCCTTTGAGCTTCTTTAGTGCTAGTTTGGCATAATATCTGTTATAATGTACAAAAACATACTTTTTCATAGCACAATAAGTCAACTTTTTCTTTATTTAATTAGGCTCCTCCTGTGGATCCTAATTTTTCCTAACAGCTTTTGAGGCTTAACCAGTGAAATGTTGAGCAGCTTAAGTCAGACAAGATGAGTAAGTAGGATACAGTGCTTATATTCTTCAGGCAACCTTTTCCCTCACATTGTACTGTAACAAAATGGGGGTAAGAGGAGACAGAAGACACAGTAGGACTGTTTCCAGGTCAGCAGATTTGTACTACTGAACCATACTGTATATGTTTAGTTGTGCATAATTTTGTAGCAATCAATAGTTTTTTTTTTTGGCTAAGCAGAGCTCAACAGCTCATTAGACTACTGAGATTTAAATATAAGGTAAATAAGCTGGCCTACAGTAGAGAAAAAACACATTTTTGTTGACAGAGAAGGTATTTTCTGACTCTCCCTTTTAAATCTGCATGGGTAGTGAGCCAAAAGACAGAGGAACAGACGGCCATGTCAGAAAGGATTCCTCAGAGTTAATCTGAGTCTAAGGCTAATCACTCATCTAGTTAAGACACACTACTTATGTTGAAGTACATGCATGTTTTAGTAAGGGATTTGCTAGATCTACAAACTTCTTTACGGAGTTTATTGTAGCAGATCTCACAAAACCAGTTCAATTGGCATGAGGTGACATTGCAGAAAAAAGCTGAGAAGTGAATGATTCTCCTGACCTTACCACATCCTAATTTTTATGTCCTGCCAAATTTAGAAACTCCAAAGAAACTTGACTTTAATTTTAGGGAGCAGAAACCTGCTCATTTGGTGCGAAAAGAAGATGCCAGGACAATGAAGTTCATCAGACATAATGTTACAGTCTGAGGCATCTTGGAAAACATTCATCAGTGAAATCCAGTTTAATTACAGCAACATCATCCTAGTCATTAACACCGTCTCTTCTGGGTTCACTCTCCCCAGCCATGATCAGCTTGTCACAGTGGTAAAATCTGTATCTTCCCAGATCTATGGGTGCAGTCTCCCACCTGCTGATTCTCTCGTTACCACAGCAACAGTTGAGTTTCCGCCTGGTAAACGTAGAGGAACGATGACTCATGTGTGGTGGGTGGGTAGAAGAGGAGGACAGCATCTAATTTGGGACACACTGCCGTCACAGGAGTTTCCACTTCTCCTTCTATCTGGTGTTTTTCTATAACTGGAAATTAAATTTAATTTTTTTAAACCCAGACATAGTGTTTGAATGTGTCTGATATGAAAAGCTGATTTTAAACAGCAGTCTGGTGTATGATCTTTTGTGATAGTTTTTAAAGCATTCATGTTGTCCATTATGAAACTTTGCTTTTTTCCACTTAGGATATATTCTGTCACAAAGATCATTACTGCTGATTTTCAGTCATTCTGATCACCTTCTTCTGTCTGTGCAATTTTATTTAATTGAGCTCCATTGCTGTAACAGTAGGGCTGAAGCTCATGGTGATGTGTATTTTACCACACCATATTCAAAGTCTTTTCCTATTGAGTATATGTTTTTAAAGTTTTCAGCACTGTGTGTTATTTGTAATATGGAAATGTCTCATATTGTGTACATGAATTAAAGCTGTAGGTAATTTTTATAAACAATATGTGTTTATTAAATTTTTGTGGAAACTGTTACTATATAATGACAGTGTAACATGCGACAGATAAACTGTAAAAAAAAAAAAAAAAACTCCTCCATTTCCACCCTTCCCACTCCTCATAGATAGGCTAAAGCTAGTTTCCAACACCACAGTCATGAAGGCTCAACCTAGTCAGTATGGGTTTGAGTTTCAGATTTCTAAATAAACTACAGTTTACACCTAAGCCTCATGCAGGATTGGGGTTTTTATTAGTTGAGATTTTTTTTTTCCTGCATTTATTGTTACAAGATGAGAAAAGTACAGATAATGCGCCTCAGCTATGATGCTTTCTTTACCATTAACTATTTAGTCATCACTGATGTAAAATGATATTGTTATTGAAATGATACCTTAACAATGCTGTTATAATTCGTGAAGAGGTAAGATTGTAACGTCTGATTCAAACTGAGTTAACCACAGCTCTGTGTGAATGAACTGTGTGCTCCCAGGATCTTTTATAAAAGGTTGTGTCCCTTTAAATGCATGCCACGAAGCACGGACAAAAGAAATCCCCACTCATTCATTTGAGTCATTGTGTGTGTGTGTGTGTGTGTGTCCGTGCATGTAATGCTCTCACAAAAGTCGTCGACTATGTACTGGCATCTCGAACTTTGGAACATGGTTCCTTTTTGACGTTCTCTCCAAGTTCACCTCAGTATCCATCTTTTCCTCTCACCAGTCCTTTCCCTTCCTCTTTTTTCAGGACACATTAAACAACAACTCATTCGGAAAGAAATACAGCTGGCAGGAAAAAGTTTCAGGCTCGTCCTCCCCTCTTAAAACAGGTGAGCTTTCATTTTACTGGTTCTTTAGACAAGAACATTAAATGTTGTAAATGTACAAAGCTTGCTTCTGAGTAAAGTTGTTTTAGTTAAAGTTTCCTTCAACTGTGGAGAGGACTTTGTGTAATTTTAATTTAGTTTGTCAGGCTGTGTTTGCATCTTTAGTAGCTTGGATTTGTGCAATGGTGAGTGGAGTTAGCTGAAGGAAAGCAAAGTTTTCTTTTTGTTTTTTGTTTTTTTACGTAGCTTAAAACTCAGGAAGCCGTCACATTGCATTATTACAAAAATGTTCAAAGCCCTTTGCTCTCACAATGTCTGCAGTGAGTCTTTTTCACTACAGATATTGTGGAGATGAAAAAAACTCACTGCAGACATTTGGCAATAGGAATCTATTCTGTGCTAAATGTACTATTTTGAAACGCAAAGGAAAAAAAACCTCTCTTTTCCTGTGGATATAGTCAGAGCTACTCATGGTATTAGCCTTATAGCCTGTCGTCTGGGGCGCCAACTGCTGGAAGGAGCTGTTGCCCAAACTGCAAAAAAAAAATAAAAAATACCGGTACATTATAATATTGATGTGAAGCCTTCTTTGATGCACTTTGATCATTCTCATTATTCAAAGCTCTTCCCACTAGCAATAATCAAATCTGTAAAAAGCTAAAGAAGTGTTTAGATACATTTTGTCTTATAAATACATGTTGGCGAGTGTTAAGTTAGATTTTTGCTTAGTGTTGTTAGTCTGTGGGTTTTGTTATTATTAGAAGATGAAGCGATTTGTTACTTTTTCACTGTTTTCATCATATTTCCTTTTGAAACAGCCCTGAGCTGATGCTTAAACAGCCTTATGAAATTGGACAGGATTTCTTCTGTCAGTACACCAAGGAGAGATCATATGACATTAAATATAGATTTATATGTGCTTTTTAAATGCTCATGAATATTTTTTTTTCTCCAGATTAGACCCATTATTATTTATTGTTTTTGGGAAGATGTACTTCCCAAGTGCTGGAGAAAAGCATCCTCTTAGCATAATGTGGCAGACACCATGTATTGGTTTTTGCCAAACATAGCATTTTGCATGTAGACCAAAAAGTGGAATTTTTGTTTTGTCTGACCAGATCACCTTTATGCTCTCTGTGTGGATGCATTTCTATTTTATTTTAAGAAAAGAGCAGGAGGAGCTGTCTCACCACAGTTCAATACTGTATGAAAGATAGGATGATAACATAATGCTTTGATTTACTGCCGATGGATTATGACGTAACATGTGACATAACGCAGCAGGCACCTTATCCTAGCTCTGAATTTGATGAGTAAGGGGGATTTATCTGTGTAATCCTAACATTACCTAACCATTTCTACTTGTCTCTCGTTCTGCTTTGGATTTTCTTTTGTCTGTGCATTCGCTGCCATGTCCATTTGTCTCCGTGGCTCTGCGTTCTGTTGTCTTTCCTGTCTGCATGTCTGCATCATGTGTACTTACTTTGTTTGTGTGCCTGGCCTTTGTGTGTGCCTGTGTGCCTCCGTGTTTGTCTGTGTGGCTGTCTGCATGGCCTTGTTTGCATCCTTTCTTCCTGTAGGTGACCTCACACCTCCACGAGAGCACAGCTGTCTGAGCGACGAGGACAAGGTGCAGGGTGGGGCCGCGCAGACCAAAGACAGAGGAACCTCCACTGACGCCCCCTGCAGACACAGCCACACCTCGGGGCACTCGCATAGCTCAAGCTCAGGGGCTGCAACTCGCTCCAAGCTGCAGGAGAAACCACCACAACCTCCACCACCACAGAACTACACACCCGCTCCTCTGTACCCAACGGGTAAGACGGACAGCTCGGGCCACCGAGAAAAGATTCGCCACCAGGCGGATGTTCATCTGGAACCCACAGAGGAGATTTATCTGACTCCAGTGCAACGATCAGCGGACCCGTTGGAACCCCCCAATGTTCAGGACCGACCTTTTCTCTCGCAGCAGACTGAGCAAGGGCGCATGTCCATAAGCTCTGACACAGAGGGACCTCCTCCTTATCAGCCCCTCCCAGACCGGACCAACCCCTCCATTTTTGAGGAGGACGAGCTCTACGTCCCTCCACCTTCCTATGCTTCCTGTGTAGAATCTCTCATCACACCACCCAACATGTCTGTTTCAGCACACGGCTCTGTCGCACTAGACCTCAGCCTGAAGGGGACAGGAGCAGGGGCCATGCTGAGGGCTGGCTCATCAGTAGAATATGTGGACGCCACCGATGACAGCTACTGTGGTGAGGATGAGGATGTAGACAGAATAATGATGGACAGGAAGATGAAAAAGACAGCAGGAAGTGGAGATGGTGGTGGCAGTAAACCTGCCATACTAAGGACTACCTTGAGCTCCGAAGCCAGCAGCCTAACATATGACTCGGTGAAATACACACTAGTGGTGGACGAACACGCTCAGCTGGAGCTTGTCAGTCTCAGACAGTGTTACCAAGGCTACAGCGACGACAGTGACTCAGCCACAGTCTACGATAACTGCGTCTCCTCTCCATATGAGTCGGCCATCGGGGAGGAGTACGAGGAAGATGAAGACGAGGAACAAAACCAACAGACCGGAGCAGCGCAGAGGGAAGCCACAGCTTGCCTCTCTGAAGACTCAACACCGGAGGAAGATCTGCATTTCTCCAAGAAGTTCCTTAATGTCTTCATGAACGGTCGCTCTCGCTCTTCTAGTAAGTCCCTCCTAAGCTACCTTTGTACAGTTTATAAGCTGAAAGATACTAAACAATAATAAACAAAATAGATAATATTTGACCTTATTTTAATTTACTTACAATATACATGAGAAACAAAAAAAAAAAAACATGTGCATAACCTCCATTAGAGATCTCACCCCCTAATATGAAGCCGATTCCCAAATAATAATTTGACCATTTTGCCTAGTTAAGCTGGAAACATAATATTCTAGACTTATAGCAATCGTTTGATTATAGTTTAATTTCTCTTCAGAATTGATAAGGTATTTTTGAATTGAGTAATGCCTTGTATGAGTACTTAGGATTCTGAGTGTTTTCATACAGCATGAGAACACTGTATGTTCTCATGCTATAAGTGAAGATTATAGATTTTCATAATCTTCACTGCTTTTAGTGTTTAGTTTTGTCTTAAAGCTTGGAATGGATCTCTAGAGGAATAGGGATCATTTTTTTCTTCTGGATTATTTAAATCGGTAATATGTTGAACAGTTATCTTTGTTTTCCAGTCTTCATAAAGCTGCATGTGTTTTTTTTTTTTTTGGTTGTTTAACCTCTTTAACATAAAGTTGCCTCACTAAGACAAAATCTTTTCCATAACATCCCTGACAAATCTTTGTTCAAATAGGGCTACAATGTTTAAAAGATTTCACTTTACTTTACCTGGCTGGAATTCAAAATATGTAATCTCTAAAATATGTATATTTTATTTTCCTAAAATCTTATTCAACCCAACTATAGTGAAACTGATTTCTTCCAGTTAAATGCTTACTGTGCAAGTTGAAAGCAATATTTTTCTATCTTCTTATAAAGAGTATAGTACAGTTTTTTTTTAATAATATTAAGTTATAATTAAATCAAAGACATCACATAACACGATTCAACACCTTCAGAAATAATTTGTGCTGATCCACATTTAAGGGGATCCATTTAAACTGGATTCCCTTAAATGCACTATTGAACACTTACATAAAATCGGTTATGGTTTAAATTTAAACCATATATGAATATTCTGGTAGATCTCAGCAACCAAAGCTTTAGATTTTCTAGTCAACATAACACCATAAGGGAAACATCTTTTGCCAATGATTTGCTTCTTTGTGAAACCATTTCTTCAATGAGTGCATGGAAAGCATCTATTTCTCAGATGGGCTTTGTGTTTCTAATGTTTCTATGCCATCTCTACTGTACTGTGGTGTTTGTTTACTGTCCTGTGTATTATGAGCATTTTTGAAACCTTTTAGAACCACCGCAGTTAATCTACCCAGTGCAGAATAAAGCAAGTAATCTCAAGGGAATGTAGGTAGAAATACACAAACTCATCAGTTTCACATCCCATTAAAGTGTGATTTATGGACCCTTAATGATCCGTCTGTGCTTAAAAGTGACCTGATTGTACTTTAATTGGATTTTTTTTAGTTGCACAATAGGCCTAATAAAAACTGGCACTGCAATCTGTAAAGTCTTATTTTTATCTCAGTTGTCCTCATATTTCTGATTTCTTTTTTGTGATTGAAGGTGCTGAGTCCTTTGGTTTATATTCTTGTATCATAAATGGGGAAGAGAAAGATCAGACCCACAGAGCAGTATACAGGTAAGGCAAAAATACACAGTTCCCATCAAACATTGTTTGTGATGCCGATATCTGTGCTAAAAGGATTTCTGTCTAATCCATATAATTTCACATCCATCATATTTAATGGAAGTAACTTTGTTACTACTGAAACAACAATCTGTTTTATAAGGAGTTGCATGGATGAGGGATGAGATAGTCTGTATTAAATTATGCATTATTCTTGCATTTGACCTCATACTTAAATTTTTACTGCATTCACACTAGAGATCGGCTATTATTATACCTTTATTGTTATTGCAAAATGTTTCATCAGAAAAATGTTTGACACTAAACTCTATAATATGATGTTTGTATACCCCAAAATTTTGACAATTTTGTTCCAAGACACCAGAAACAAATATTAATCTATTTAAAATATAATTAAATGCAGTCTGTCATGTGCTTTTTAGTAATAAAACTTCACCAGATTATTAAATAATCTGCATATTGTTTCTTGTTGTTGCACTGAATTGCAGCCCTAAGCCT